CCAAGACTCAGTTTCCCTGACTGTAACGCAGGGCTGATGACCGACTCTTCCCCACAGGGCTGCCAGGAGGGAATGGATGCCTGACCCCTATAGGCTTGCAATTCCTGTGTGTTCCCTTTACACCAGTAGTCCTAGAATCGGCAATAAACGTTTAGTCCAGCCACCCCATTTGACAGGTTATCAAACAGAAACCGGAAAATCTCAGAGGCAGAATGGCCCGTCATTTGGCTGCCCACAGTGGGGGAGCTAGGTGAATGAAGAGGGGTAGTGTATGAAGCCCCAGATCCAAAGCTGGGATGACAAGACAAGCAATAAACCCCAGAGCTCCCCAGATGAGACCAGCAGGAGCTGCCCAGGCCTTCCCAGGTCCAGACTGGCGGCCTCTCCGCTGTCTCACGGTTTTTTTAACAAAGCATCTCGAAGAGTGTCTTGCACACAGTTAGGTGTTCAGGCCCTGGGAGGGATTATGGTCGGGTAAGTGAGCACTAGTTACAAACCAAAACTCAGATGGGAGGACTCCCCTGCTAAATGGCAGCATTTTGCACAAAAACTCAGCTGTAGGCACTTTGCACGCTCTTTAGAATAATAGCTAATATTCTAATATTCTAATAGCTAATAGCTAATATTCTAAAATAATATTTTAGAATAATAACACATATCTATCAAACAATAGTCATTGAGTTTCTACTACAGGTGCAAGGCAACCTGCTAGGCCTTTGTGTGAATGATCTCATTTAAACCCAACAACCCTTATGAACAAGTCCACTATTATTTCCACTTTACAGATGAAGAAACTGAGGTTCAGGGAGGGTTTTGCCTGAGGTCGCAAGGAGCAAGGCAGGAATCCAGGGCTTTCCGAATCAAGAGCCTTAGCCCTACGTCATACCGTGGTGACAGCGAGAATTGCTGACCGAGATGTTTCAAGGGAATGTCCAAAATGAACACTGAAATCAATTCCCCACGGTAGCTACTGGTGGGAGAGGCTAATCTGGGCTTCCTCAGGAAGGTGTGGAATGTTGACACCATCCCCTGGGCTCTTCAAGGGCTGGGGGGGAGGTTGGGGGGAGCTGTGATAGTCTGGGCGGAGACCGATGGCTGACCATTATGGGTTCCAGAGGGGGGCTATTCGAACCCCTCCACTAGCCAGAGGCAGCCAGGATTCCATTAACCTGATTCTCTGCCCCACATAAACCTGCAGAGGGAGCCCCGGGAGGGAGGGAGACTGGGGAGGGGAAAAATCCGGCTTCCCCAGACCCTGAATGAAGCAGCCAATGGCATCAGTTTCTTCTCTTGCAGTCCTGGAGGACCTTCAAGGCCCCTGGCTCTTTGAGCAGAGAGTGGGGAGAGGGTGGGAGAGCCAGAAATTAGGGGTAAGAGAATCCAGTCTAGGGTGCAGAATCAGGGGGAGAGCCATTAGAGCACAGAGTCACTATACCGGCCCTGTATCCCATGTGGCCTTGGGTAAGTCACATCAAGTCTCTGATCTTTAGGCAGTTCCTTAGTAGGAAGGGCAACCCTGTGTCAGCTCTTCATGCTGGGCAGAAGCAACACTGTGCCCGACACGTAGTAGGTACTCAGGAAATGGTGGCTGTTACCGCTGCAGTGATTTTAACACCATGACTCCAGTATAGCCCTTCTCAGCTTGTCTGGGACATTCACATCCATTTTCTCATTGGTGTCACAATATTTCTTCAAGGCATGCAAAGATTCTTTTCTTTTTTAATTTATTTGAGAGAGGGAAAGAGAGAGCATGCAAGTGGGGGCAAGGGGCAGAGGGAGAGGGAGACAAGCAGACTCCCTGCTGAGTAGGAATCCCAACTGGGGCTTGATCCCAGGACCCTGAGATCATGACCTGAGCTGAAATCAAGAGTCCTATGCTCAATTGGCTAAAACACCCAGGCACCCCAAAATGTGATAGTTTCTAACCCCTGGGCTAGGCTGCAACCCAGTGATGGTCATAGAGTGGGCCACGCCCACCAGGCCCCTCTTCTCCAGTCTGTTCTTCTCAGGAGTAAGGTCAGGTGCCTCTTCCTCCTGGAAGTCTTCCTTGACCACAAAGCCTAGTTAAGTACTCCTCCTCTCTTATAGCCTTCCAGACTTCTTCTGTTAAAGCATTTACCAGACATCGTACAATTGTTAGGTACCCCCACCTCAGACTCTGAGGGCTCAATCCATGCTTTTTATAGAAGGGGAGGGGCCACAATAATTATTTTGTTAATGACTGCAGCTGCTCCCACACAGAGGGGCACGCAGGTCTACATAGAGTCATGTGTAAGTATTCAGTCCTGCATATACACAGTTATACACATTTGGGCTGGTGAGTACACACGTGCACAGATAAAGGAATGTGGCAGATTTCTGGAATGTGGCAGATTGAGCTGACGTGGGTGCCCCCATCTCGCCACACACATATAAACACACAACACTGGAGATGATCTCGACAAAAGCTTGAAAGAAAGGGAAATCCTTGGGTGACTTTTTTTTTTTTTTAATTTAGGGGATTTTTTAAAGTAGTAAGTGGAACAAAAATGCAAAAATACAACCATAAAATGAAAAATAAGAGGAATTAGACTGGAATTAAAACATGCTAGGATTGTTTGGGAAGTAGATGGAGACATCAAGTAACTTTTGGCTTGGTTGAGATAAATATACATGTTAAAAACTTAAAGACAGGGTGCCTGGGTGGCTCAGCGGGTTAAGCCGCTGCCTTCGGCTCAGGTCATGATTCCAGGGTCCTGGGATCGAGTCCCACGTCGGGCTCTCTGCTCAGCAGGGAGCTTGCTTCCCTATCACTCTCTCTCCCTGCCTCTTTGCCTACTTGTGATCTCTCTCTATCAAATAAATAAATAAAATCTTTAAAAAAAAAAAAAAACTTAAAGACAGCCATAAAAGACTTCAATATATAACTTCTGAATCAGCAGAGGAATTAAAGAACATAAAGAAAATTCAACCAATGCCACAGAAGGCAAGAAAGGAGAAAAAAGTTTTAAACTGATGGTAAATAAAACACATAAGATAGTACAAATAAGGTCAAATACAGTTGACCCTTGAACAATGCCAGATTTAGGAGCACCAACCCTGCTCCCAACACACACAGTCGTCAATCTGTGCATCACTTTTGACTCCCAAAACTTAACTACTAATAATAGCCTCCTGTTGACCAGAAGTCTCGCCAATAACATAAAGTCGATTAATGCATATTTTGTATATTATCTGTATTCTATACTATATTCTTACAGTAAGCCAGAGAAAATATTATTAAAAAATCTTAAGAGAAAACACATGTATGGTACTGTCCTATATTTATCTAAAATAAATTCATGTATTAATGGACCCACTTAGTTCAAACCTGTGTTGTTCAAGCATCAACTGTCTACTAGTAACCACGATAAATAAAAATGAATTAAACTCAATTGTTTAAAAACAGAAATTCTTAGTTTAGGTGGAGAAAAATCCCACCTCTGTTTATAAGAGACACAACTAAAAGATAATGATGTGCGAAGAGTGTAAGTAAAGGGATATAAAATGATGTATCAGAAAATATTTTCTGTAATAAAACTGGGAGCAAGATAAGTGTTGGGGAATAAAAAGATTTTAAGACAAGAAGCATTATTGGGGACAGGGAGGGTCATTACTAATGACAAAATGAATAATTCACCAGGAAGGTATAATAATCCTGAAGTTGCGTAGTTTCAAAACAGTTTTTTTTTTTAAGCTTTTTTTTTTAAGATTTTATTTACTTATTTGAGAGAGAGAGAGAGACAGCATGAGCTGGGGCGGACTGGCAGAGGGAGTGGGGGAAGCAGGCTCTACACTGAGCAGGGAGTCCAATGCAGGATTGATCCCAGGACCCCGAGATCATGACCTGAGATGAAGGCAGACACTTAAATGACTGAGCCACCCAGGCACCCCTCAAAACAATTTTAAGAAAACACTCAAACTGATATACTTACAAGAAGAAATTTTCAAGTTCACGTTCTTAGTAAGCTATTGTAGCATAGCTTTCCCGGAAAGTGACTAAGTAGACACAAATGATTAGACTCGAATGACCTGTATATAAGAACTTTGAACCCGACCTAAAAACATTGCATATTCCTGATGCACTCAGGCAGACCCACCAGCCTTCCCCCAGGTGCAGAAGCACACAGGGGCCGAGGGTGACAAGTATGGAGGCAGAATTGCAGGTCACACCGACAAAGACACCCAAAAGGGAAGAGGCCTGGTATGTGGCCAGGTAGGTGTTCAGCTAACTAAACACTTACCTGGTCCATGACCTTGGACAGTGAAATACCCTAGCTAAATCTTAGTTTCTTTCTATGAAACATGCAGATTCACCATCAGCAAACTGTTACGCTCTGGAGAGTTCATATATAACAGAACGCTGCCATTGTAACAGAAAAGCAAGCACAGGCAATACATAACCAAAGGGCATGGCTGGGTTCCAGGAAATTTTATTTTCAAAAACGGGTGGCAGGCCGAATTTGGCCAGCGGGCCATAGTTTGCCGACCCCCAATGTAGAGAACACCTTTTGCCTTCCCAGGATTATGGATGACATAAAGAATAGGACTAGAAGCAAAGTGACTTGTAGGAAAGGAGCTCAATGGACAGCCCATCTCGTGAGTAAGGACGTCACGTGAGAGTGTACACACACACAAAGACACGTATGTATGAAGGTACATGCCTGTGTGTAGCTCTGTCTGCATATGCATGTATGGAGAAAGCCTGAGGTGTATATATGAGCACGTTTTGTGCACACAAGTAAACGTGTACGTGTGTAAGCCTGTGCTTCTGTATGGAGGCGAATCTTCTAGAAAATGGGAAAAGAAGAGCATAACCTCACCGGGCAGTGAGGATAAAATGGCAGGGTGCTGGCTGCCGTGCCCGGCACAGTAGGAGCTCGGAAGCTCGCATTTACCGAGTGTGGGCTTTACCGAGTGAGGGGTGGGTGACACCCCACCCGCTCACACACTTTCCCTCGCGTACCCATAACACGGTTTTCTGTGCACTTGCTTGCAGAGGGAAGCTGCACTAATGAGGAGGTCGTCCTCGTAGCCAGCAGGTGCCCAGAACAGCCCTGACGGGCATGCAATTTAGCTTTCTCCTGAGATGTTGGGCAAATGAGGAGAAAGGCGTTTTAATCCCTTGTCACGTCTCCAGGGGCTGGAGGACATGTGCTGAGTTGGGATTTTTCAACTTCAGCCTTTTTTTTTCCTTGACACATCCATCCCAGAAACATCTGTGAGATAAAACAGAGAAGGTCTTATGAATTCAGCTCAGACTCGTGCTCCCACCCCAAGCAAGCGAGACATGAATCACCGGCCTGGGGGCCCAGCAGCCCCGCAGAGCAGCCTCTCCAGCGGGGGCCCCGGCCTTTCCTGAGGAGCTGCTTTTGATTTCCCCAAGCCTTCTGATCGTCTACACTCACAGAGCATGTGTTGTCCGAGGGGAGGCCTGCTGAGCGCTCGGCTCCCGGTCCAGCGCCGGGGTCAGCCACTCATTCCGGGCCTTGGCCGAGTCCCGCTCGATACCAGGCCCTCGAGGCACCAAGATGAACCAGACAAGACATCAGGGCCGCCTTGCTTGTCCCCATCTCCCAGCATTTGGGAACACCGTGGGGGGGAGATCGCCATTGTGGGGCTGGGAGGGTGCCTCAGTGGTGCGCCAGTCCGCCCTCTGCATTGGCGGTTTTTATCCTGCAGGCGGGAGGAAGTGCGTCATGGCGGCCGCTGGGTCAAGGATCAGCCAGCCATTAATTGAACTTGACCTTCTGGGGCCCCCCTGTGCTCTGTGGCCTTGGATTCCACCAGATGGTTCAAAACCTGGCCCTCTCTGCCGGGGCCCACATGGTGTCTGTCCATTTCTGTGTGTTTCAAGAAAAGGAGGGGATTTTGGAGCTTCCACCCGGGGCCGGAGAGGGGATGTAATCAGCACTCTTTCCTATTTCTTCCCTCCCGCGAAGAACTCCGTAATGGTTACCTGTTACTCTGTAGGCCCTGTGCTGGGCATTAGGGATACTGAGAAGGTTAAGACAGAGCCCTGCCTTTAAAAGCCACCAGGCTCAGGAGGTGGGCAGTCCAGGGCAGTGATAAGAAAGGCAGAAAGCGTTTTCATGTTCTCAGAGATGCCGACAAAGTCCTACAGGGGTGCGGGAGGTAGGAAGAGACACACGGAGACACCTGCTTTCCCTGGTCCGGCCGACTGCTGTGTGGAGTGGGGACAAGGGGGTAATTATATCATAAGTTTATAGGAGTTTCTCCACCTGGAGGGTCTGGGTCTCTAAAAAGAAGGTGGGGATGGGAAAAAAAAGAGTGTCTCTGGTCCTGAAGGATTTCTCCCTAGTCCCTTTTTACAGATGGGAAAGTTGAGTCACAGGAGACCAAGTTACATACCCAGAGTTGAAGAGTATTTAGAGTAAGATGAAAGCAGGCTTGTATGGAGCAGGAGAGAGGGCAGAGCGTGGATGCCAGACGAGGTCCAGCCATTTTCCTGTCTGTTTCCGGGTCATCCCTATCTTCCTGAGGACAGTTCCAGACCAGTCCTTCTGTGTGCCTGCTCACCTTTGCCTTCCCCGCCTCCTTCCCAGAATCCTTAGCAACAGACAGGCAATCTGAGAGGGGCAGGAATGCCCTCCCCCCACCCCTGGATGGGCTGGCTCCTGTTTACCCAGCTGGTGTAAGCCCAGGCTGGGGTCGCAGGGAAGGACCTGGGAGGCCAGTCCTCTAGCCGGCACCCTGCTGCTCGGGTCTTATGACCCCTTCTCTCCCCTCCAAGGCCTCTCCCTCAAAGATGAGGCCCAAGGTGGGGCTTGGCCTCACAGGAGAGGAGAGCTTAGCTCCTGTTACACTTCATGTATCTGTCTGCTCTTTTATTGAAAATGTAGAGGTGGCTGTGAGGAGAGAGAGCAGAGAGCAGTGGGACAGAGGAACCGGCTGGTAAGGGGCAGGTGGATAGAGCATGAGGTCTTAGAACGGAAGACCTGGGTTTGAGACCGGGTCTGTGTGACCCTAGCAAATCACATGCCCTCTCTGAGCGTCAGTGTCCCAGTCTGTCGATGGAGGGTGAAGGTCAGCACTCTCTCTTGCCAGAGTCCTCATGAGGCTAGAGTGCAATAAGGATGCTAAAAATGCCTTGTGGAATCAAAATGTAACACTGATTGTGGCTGGGGCCATTATTTGATTGGCATCGGGGGAAATATCTGCTTGGATAGGTATGTGCAACCAACCAGGGGCAAGAGCCACGGGCCTGGGAGTCAGAAGACCCAGGGACTAGAGGAGGCTGTAGCTGGCTCTGTGCATGAACCTTCACTTAGTTTCTGTCAGCCCCAACTTCCTCATATTAGCCTGGGTGGAAAAGCTGTTCTCCCTCCAGTCTCACAATGACCAAGGAGGACTCTTCGTCCCACCAGCATTCACTGAGCACCTGCTGTGTACCAGGCCCTGGGCTAGACTGGCACGTGGCTCCTGTCCCCGAAGAAAGGTAACACTAGGAGAGATGCAGGGCTCAGATCCTAGAGTATCAGATATAATTGAGTCTAGTCTCCTCGTTTTGCAGATGGGGAAAAAACAAAGCCTTAAAGAGGAAAATGGCTTTCCGGGGATATCAGAAATGAGAAGCACCCATTGACATTCCTCCCTGACTCCAATCCAGACGTTGAGAATCAGTCATTATACTCTTCTCACTAAATCCAGAGCTACTCCAGGATCAAGGGGTTGAAGCGGGAGCACAAGATGAGACCATTTGCATACCAACCCTGAGTTCTCATCTTGCTCTTGTCTGAGGACTTTGACTAGAATCGGCCACGCTGGGACTCAGACCTAGATTTTCTCACCCATTCTGCCGTTGCACTTATTCCTGAAACCAGCTAGAAACAGAGTACCCACCACATACCCCACTTGTTGGTAGACTCCAAGAAAAGTAAGGCCTGCTTACAGCCTCATAGCCTGGTGCAGAAGAAAGCCAAAGGGCAAATAATGATGGGGGGCTAGTTGGAGATACACACAGGTTTCTCTGGGAATGCAGGGAAGAGAGCAACCTGCTGGCCCCGGGACAGGGTTGGGGTGCTGGGTGGTGGTTGAGGAAGTCTTCCCAAAGTGGGGACATTGCAGTCAGCACTCAGCCAGCAAACACATGACAAACACAAGGCCCAGTATAGCATCCAGATACATTGGCCTTCCTTGGGGATCAGTGACCTCTGTGGCCCAGGAAGTGACAAGAATGTGTTACAGGGAGAAACACTGACCCCGATGAACAGGAGTTTGTAATGTTGACAAATGTTGCGATGTTGATGGGGCAAAGATGGAGCTTAGGAGGAGTGGCTTAGGAGGTAGAAGAGGGAGTTTCTAGGTTGCTTTCCTAGTTGGGCTGAAACCCAGCAATATATACCCAGCTTTGCGCTTTTTCTGGCCCCTGTTCAACTCACCCATGCCCTCCTACACTTGTGGCTCTCATCATACTGCTCATTATCTGACAAAGATAGGTTTTCCCTGGTGAGACCGGATAGGTCAAAGACTGTGTCTCATTTCTTACTGGCTGGGGCTTGAACCTAGCACTGGCACAGTGCTTACCTGGCTCATAATGGGTACTCAGTAAATCTTGGATGAATGGGTGGATGGATGGATGGATGGGATGGATGATGGATGGATGGATGGATGGATGGATGGATGGATGGGATGGATGATGGATGGATGGATGGATGGATGGATGGATGATGGATGATGGATGGATGGATGGATGGATGGATGATGGATAGATGATGGATGGATGAGTAGATGGGTGGGTGGGATGGATGATGGATGGATGGATGGATGGATGGATGGATGGGATGGATGATGGATGGATGGATGGATGGATGGATGGATGGAATGGATGATGGATGGATGGATGGATGGGTGGATGGATGCGTGGGATGCATGGATGGATGGGTGG